AAATGCATGGACTAGTTTTTCTGCATCATTTTTAGACAGGATGTTCCTGATTTTCGCAATATTACGTAGGTGAAAAAAGGTGGTCCTTGAAATTTGCTTAATGTGAGACTTAAACGACATGTCCTGATCAAAGATAACTCCAAAATTCCTGACAGTGGTGCTGGAGGCCAGGGCGATGCCATCAAGGGAAACTATATCTTTAGATAATACGTCACGGAGGTGCTTGGGCCCCAGAACAATAACTTCAGTTTTATCTGAGTTTATCATTAGAAAATTACAGGTCATCCAGGTTTTAACATCCTGAAGGCACATTTGAAGTTTAGCTAACTGATCAGTTTCATCTGGCTTGATCGGCTGATAACAGCCTCTAGACGCTTCCTATAGCCTGTAATGAGTGTCTGGATTCTGGATGAAGGTATTTTGGACCATTCCTCCTTGCAAAACATCTCCAGTTTCCTTAGGTTTGATGGTTGCCGAGAATGGACAGCCCGCTTCAAATCACCCCACAGATTTTCAATGATATTCAGGTCTGTGGACTGGGATGGTCATTCCAGAAAATTGTACTTGTTCCTCTGCATAAATGCCAGAGTAGATTTTGAGCACAGTTTTGGGTCGTTGTCTTGTTGAAATATCCAGTAATTTCAACTTTGTGACTGATTCTGCTACATACGTCCACGACACCTTCTTCCAAAATGAAGCTGGCTTGTCCAAATGTGCATTTGCATTCCTCAAGCGACTCTGTTTGTGGCATGTGTGCACAAAAGGCTACTTCCGCATCACTCTCCCGTACATCTTCTCCTTGTGCAAAGTGCACTGTATTGTTGAACGATGCACAGTTACACCATCTGCAGCAAGATGATGTTGTAGGTCTTTGGAGGTGGTCTGTGGGGTGTTTTTGACCATTCTCACCATCTTTGCCTTCACCTCTCCGATATTTTTCTTGGCCTGCCATTTTTGGCCTTAACAAGAACTGTGCCTGTGGTCTTCCATTTCCTCACTGTGTTCCTCACAGTGGACACTGACCGCTTAAATCTCTGCTATAGCTTTTTGTAGCCTTCCCCTAAACCACAAAGTTGAACAATCTTTGTTTTCAGGTAATTTGAGAGATGTTTTGAGGCCCCCATGTTGCCATCTTCAGAGGAGAGTCAAAGAGAACAACTTACAATCTTCCGCATTACATACCTTTTTCTCATGATTGGATGCACCTGTCTATGAAGTTCAAGGCTTAATGAGCTCACCAAACCAATTGTGTGTTCCAATTAATCGGTGCTAGGCAATTACAGGTATTCAAATCAACAAAATGACAAGGGTGTCCTAAATATAGATGTGATATTTATGAACCTGTCTACTTTCATTTTGATGTATATTGCACATTTTCTGTTCATCCAATAAACCTTATTTCACTACTGAAATATTACTGTGTCTTTCAGTTATTTGATAGCTCAAAATTAAATTGCTGATCCAAACACCCAATTATTAATAAATAAAAATTGGAAATTGTAAAAGGTGCCTAAACTTTTGCATACAACTGTAGTTCATCAAATAAATAAAATAAATAATTGTATTTCAATACATTTGATGTAGAAAAATATTATCTAATATTGTTAATTTCTCTATTTTTTCTTTCATTAGGGGTATGTCTCCTTCTGGTAACAATAACAGCTGCCATCTCTTCTCTCTCTCACTCGGCGGTTTGCACCTTCCAAACGTATTAAATACAAATGCTGTTGCACAAATTTCGTTTAGGCTTGTTAGATCACATTGTGTGTAGTAAATAAATGTATTTACCTTTACAACAGGTGCATTCTGCGTGCACACCGTTAGTAGATGAGCTTACATGTTAATTTGCTGGTGATATCAAGTTTGCACACGTTTTTACTCACGCAAACTTTAGTAAATCTGGCCCAAAGTACAATAACAAAGTATTGGTACTTTGTTAGGTTCCACCACTGTGCTTGTGTCTATGGTCAGCACATTCATGACTGTATGATCAAGGACCTGTCGTGGTTAAGGTGCTTCACATTTTTTGAAAAACTTATTTTATCGACTCAGCGATCGGAGTTACGATTTGTGTTACAATAAATGGGCAAGGGACATTATCAATGCATCTTAAAGAAAACTGAGACTATACTGTACAGTAACTCTTTATATTTGCATACAGCTACCGTAAAACTTTTAAAACAATTAATTGTGAATCCCAAAAAGCTGCCTACTCCATTTACTGGCCTGGTGTGGGAACACATTTTGACAGATAAACGCAGGTCTCCATTAAACGCCTGGTCTAGTTTTTATAGAAGTTCTTTGGATGTATAAAACCTCTTAAACCCCGCCGGGTCGCCCGCTTTAGCTGCTTCTAAGCTGCTTAGATCGTTAATAGAAACATTAATGTTTAAAGGGATGATCAATATGTCAGTGTGGACATGCTGCACATCGTTAGATCGGTTAGATTCTCCACAATTCAATCGTTCAGTTCATTTAACGCAAACGAGCCAAAGTCTAATTAATGTAGATTTACCGGTGTAACTGGCATGGTGTAAGAGATGAGAAAACAAAGGGCCGACTCCTGTTACCTCTGAAGCGCTCGTTAAGTCCGAATGTGTCCGTTCCTTGATGATGTATTTTCCTTTAGTCTGTAAGGGTCCACCGGTCAAAAGAATCAAAGCAGCTTTTCATGAAAAATGAATCCAAGTCATAATTCCTGTCATGTGAAGTCCGTCGCTCTCTGTCTGCTAACTTCTGCCACACTTCTCTCATCCTGCACCCTGTTGTTGGGTATGTTTGTTTTCGTTACGTTGCTGCCTACAAAATAAAAGTGCATAAGCCGTCTGTCGGAGCGGGATCAAATGAATGACGCGTATTTGATATTATTTGCTAAAATATTTTTATACAAGTAATATTCATAATAATAATATAATAATAAGCTTTATTTATATAGCACAACAGAGTACAAAGTGCTTCACAACAAATCACACATAAAATACAAAACAAATAACCACGTGGGATCTGACAGGGGGGTAAAATACAGAATATAAGAACAATGATCACAATAGAGTATAACAAATATGTTCAGTAGGACATACATACATTAGGACATTCCAGTATAGAATTCAATTTAAAATCCTGGTTCTTACTTTTAGAGCCCTGCACGGTCAGGTTCCTTCCTACATCTCTGAGTTGATACAGCTTCATACTCCCACCCGTAGTCTGAGGTCATCAGCTGAGAGGCCGTTAGTGGTTCCCTACACTCATTTTAAAACCAGAGGGGATCAATCATTCTAAGTAGTGGCATCTAGGCTGGGGAATGCTTTGCCTACCTTTCTACGTTGTGTGAATTCTGTTGATTCTTCTAAAAAGCAACTGAAGACGCTGCTATTCAAGCAGGCTTTTAGTTAGACTGTGGGGTTTTTATGGTTTTGTTTCTATGTTTTCCATTTTTATTTAAATTTTCTTATGCATTGTATTTTACTTTGTTGTATTGTATTACATTTTATTGTGAAAGGTGCTGTACAAATAAACTTTACTTAGTAGAAGATAAGACAAGGAAACAAAGTGATAAGAACGGTAGGACAGGAATAGTAAAACGAGTGGCAGCTCAGATAAAATCTGGATATGCGTTCCGGTAAAAGTATGTTTTTAAAAGAGATTTGAAAGAAGAAGCCGACCTGCCAGCCTAATTTCCTCAGGCAAGTAGTTCCAGAGCCTCGGGGCCCTGACAGCAAATGCTCGGTCACCTTTTGTTTTAGTCTGGCTTCAGGAATAGACAAGAGGCCCTTGCCAGAGGATCTTAAATCACAGGAAGACTCATAAAGAGTTAAAATCAGGAGCCAAGCCATGAATAGCCTTAAAAGTAATGAGTACAATCTTAAAATCAAAACTAAAACAAACAGGGAGCCAGTGCAATGATGCTAAAACAGGGGTGATATGATCATATTTTCTTGTCCTAGTTAAGAGACGAGCAGCTGAGTTCTGTACAGTCTGTAACCTATTTAGGGTTTTTGGATAAAGGCAAGTGAAGAGGCTGTTGCAATAATCAATGCGTGAGGAGATTAAAGCATGTATAACAGGTCTGTAACATTTAAAATAGGCCTTATTTTTGTGATATTTCTAAGGTGGTAAAAGCTGGACTGGACAAGTTTGAAATAAATAAACTGTTTTCATAGTTGTTTCTGTTTTGTGCAAAAGGAGTTAAAGGCCTGTCCCATATGGACGCCTGTCCCAATTATAGGCAGGGTTAATTCTGTGATTTTAGCAAATAAAAGCTAAAATGTTTTATGTTATATAAGAAAAATTATACTATATTACTATACACAAAACCTTCCCCCCTTTCATTCCAACCCTCTCATGCTTACATGCTGTCTCTTGCTCTCCCTTTCTCTTAAATCAGGTGCTGTGGTAGTTTCAGCCAATAGTACATGTGATGTAGTCACTGGGATCCAAAATAACAAGGCAATCCATTTGTCTGGAGTGGTTTGGTCTCTGTCCAATGCTGCTTCTCTTTTCTTCACTAGACCACTGCTATTTCATTCTTTCCTCCATCACAGGGACATTGTATCACAAAGTAATGCAAGGTAGCATGCAAATCATGCACATACATAGATAATGTAAGAAGTAAACTATTGCAACTGAAATTACAATTCATCCAGAACACAGAATTTTAAAAAAATTATTAAGATTAAGATTAAATTAGTGTTGACTAGTGTTAAATTAGCTAGTGTAATAACACAAAGCTTCTAAAATAAACAGTTGTATGTGATTTATTTTGATGTGTTCTCTTATTTGGTAGGCTTCTCTGCCTATTTCTTTTATAATTTCCGTTAAAAGACGAGGGGGAAAGTATTACACAAAGTCCCAGGCTTAGTACCATTTCGTTAGAGTTTACTCCGGTGGACGACAGGGTCGCCTCACTACGCCTACGGGTTGTGGGGGGATAACTCTGACTATTGTATGTGCATATGCACCAAACAGCAGTTCAGAGAATTCGGCCTTCTTGGAGACCCTGAATGGAGTCCTGTATAGGGCTCCAGTACGGTACTCACTTGAACACCGTGGTGGACACCGGTGGTCGGGAAAATCATCTGACTGGAGATGGTGGCATTCTAGGATATGTTATCGCAGAGGACTCCGGTAGCAGCTGCCAGACACCGACGGGCCTGAAGGACTGCAGCCTGTGCCGTGATGGAGGCAAAGCAGCGGGTGTGGGAGAAGGTCGGCACCAAGGTATTTCTGGAAAACCGTCCGCCACCTCGGAGTTGTTGTGTACAGTAGGGTGGGATGCTGTTGACCTCTACTGAGCAGGTAATTGGGCGATCAAAGTAACACTTTGATCGCCCTCCTGAATCCCACTAAAATGCCTTCTATGGCAGAGGCAGAGCTGGAGGCTGTTGGGGGATCATCGTCAATTTCCCCGGTGGAAGACACTAAGGTAGGCAAAGCCTCGGGGATTGATGAGATCCGTACAGAAATGCTAAAAGTTTTGGATGTGGAGGGGATGTCTTGGATGACACGCCTCTTCAACATTTTGTGGAAGTCGGGGACAGTTCCTAAGGAATGGCAATGGTGGTGGTGGAAAGTGTGTGCCTATTACAGTGGCTAAGTTTACTCCAAGGTGCTGAAGAGGAGGGTCGAGCCTCGGAATGAAGAGGAACAATGCGGATTCTGTCCTGGTCTTGGAAAAATGGACCAGCTCTTCATTCTCTCAAGGGTCATGGAGGGGGCCTGGGAGTATGCCCATCCAGTTGTGTGTGTTTGTGGATCTAGAGAAGGCATATGACCTGTACGTCCAAAGTGAGAGTGTGTACCGATTCTCTACCGATAAGTCGGACTTATTCCAGGTGGGCATCCGCCAGGGCTGCGCTTTGCCACCAATCCTGTTTGATATTCATGGACTGGATAACGAGGCGTAGTCGTGGTGGGGAGGGGTGATGCTTTTTTCAGATGATGTGGTCCTGACTGCATCAGCGGTTAGTGACCTTCAGCACTCACTGGATAAGTTTGCAGCAGTTTGAAGTGGCTGGGATGAGGATTAGCACCTCTAAATGTGAGGCCATTGTTCTCAGCAGGAAATGGATAGAGTGCTCACTTCAGGTAGGGAAAGAGTCTTTACCCTAAGTGAGGGAGTTCAAGTACCTCGGGCTCTTGTTCACAAGTGAGGGGACAATGGATGGGGGGGATTGGCTGGAGAATTGGAGCAGCGGGCAGTATTGCATTTGCTCTGCTGTACCAATGTGACGAAAAGAGAGCTGAACCAGAAGGCAAAGCTCTCAATCTACTGGTCAATTGTCGTTCCTACCCTCACATATGGCCATGAAGGCTGGGTCGTGACTGAAAGAACTATATTGTGGGTACAAGAGGCCCAAAATGGGTTTTCTCAGGAGGGTGGCTGGTGTCTCTCTTAGAGATTGGGTGAGAAGCCAAGTCATTCATGAGGAACTCGGAGGAGAGCCGCTGCTGCTTTGTGTCGAAAGGAGCTACTTTGTGTCGCCTGCTGGAGCTGCTGTCCCCAGGAGCCGAGCCTGGATAAGTGGTTGAAGGCTTGTGGACTTGAACCAGGAACGGAGAGAGAGATATATATCCAAGCAGCACCCACACAACTCACACCACACTTAATGTTAACAAGATTACTGATCAATATTTATAACAATAACTTTAGTGAATGTGTTGCTCTCAGGTGGAGGCGGCTAGAAGGAGCATCCTGGCTCTGGCTAAATCTAGAGGCACTATTGACAAACTGGTAGAGGAACTAGTAGAAATCAGTCTGTTAGTATAATATGATAGCATTTAATAAAAAGTATATTGTTCATTTAATAGTATACTGTTACAATAGTACAGTAATAGGACAATGTTAAGATATTAAGATTGTGTGTTAACCCCTCACACTACAGGATCATTTGAGGCAATTATCTGTTCTCACCAGCGTTGGATCTGGAATTCCCCCACGATTGTCGGGAGGGCCGAATTGGCCCTGGGGTCGGCCCATTTATCCTCTAGTGTGCAGCCAGAATAAAAGTCATGGCTCAGATTGCAACATACAGGTTCAGTCCAAGTCACGCATGCATTTTATGCCACACCATACAGGCATTTTAAAATGAAGCCAGAATGCAGTTGGTATTTGAACACCGTGGTAATGCTGTGGTGGCAGTGAAGGGGGGAAATAATTAAACCGGGAGTAGCTGCAGTGCACACCAACAACCACCAGGTGGCACATGCGAGCACATGCAGTCTCTCTTTGTCTCTACTATTTGGCTTGGCAAGCAGATAATGGCTAAACACAAATGCAACGAAACTCTTTGGGAATGAGTCACAGCCCTCAGTTGTCCAACTGTTCAGTTTTCTGCCTGGCCTGTAAAGTATACTTACACATTACACAGTCTTAATTTCATAATGGACATTTGTGTTATGCTATTTAAAACAACCATTCATCAACATAGTTTAGTAGTTTTAATAATCAAAAATACTAATCTTCTTTGGTTTGTGGAGGCATACATTGTGTAGTTAAGAGAGTGTTGAGGAAGAAGAAGTCCAGTGATGTAATTCCTGTCCTCTCCTACAGTACATTAAATAGTCCAGGTGGGAATTACTCAGCTTCTCTATTAGGCACGAAAGTTTGGTTTTATTTTCGTCAAACTGAGTTTTGTTGCTTGCTGTGATTCAGAAAAAGGCATAGGCCTATCTGATGATATTATATGATATTATTTAATGCCATGCCATGACTCTCAAATGATCTTTTTCTGAAATTATAATTTGATACTTCTCCACCATTGCTCATAAGCAACCCATTTTACTCTCTAACCTCCTTTCTTCTTATCATGGCTGACTTCTACAGTAATAATACTGGATTGATGTGCATCTTCAATTGAAATACCTGGTTGTTAAGTAAGGTGGAGTGATTGTCTTATACTGAAAGACATTTTGTCCATGCAAACATGCATATATTTTTGTGTAAATATATACATTGAATTACATTATTAACATTAAATGATGCCTAAATGAGCTCAGTGTCATTCCTTCATTTAGTCCATACATTTCAGACTGGCAAAACAAATTTCAGTGTCAAAGAGGAAGAGTACATCAGTTATTAAAAAATAATTGCATAGTGAATCGCAATTGCAATACTGGTAAAAAAAAAATCACATTTAGATTATTTTCCAAAACTGTTTAACCATAGTGTCATCCTGTCAGCTGGGAGCTGAGGCTGTAGTATGACCGGAGGAGGAATGTATGCAGGTTAGGGTACATGGAACATTGTCACTCTCTTGGACGTTTGTATGGTGCATTATTATACAGCTTCCTCTGAGTTTGGTGGTCCAGAATGTCTCAGTTGCAGCAATGAGTTCCTCCATGTTGTGTGGCTTGGCTTCACATCGCACAAAGTCCTTCAGAGCATGCCAGGCAAGTTCACTCGGGTTCAGATCAGGCAACCTAAAGTATTAAATGGAAAAGCCAAGCCTTTGTGCCTTGAAAATTACTGATGTAGTGAAAACAGATGTATTATAGACAAATGAAAAGATATTGAGTACTTTTATTCTCATTAAGCTCCTGGAGGTTGTATTTTTATTTAGGCACGTTATTGGATGTTTTGAAAAGTACTATGTCTAAATAGATTGCTATTGCTAAACCACAAGTAACGTGGTGTGGTGCAGAGATGGGGACTCCAGACTTTAGTCGCACACACAGTGACTTCAGACCCGACTTGAGACTCGAGGAGCGGGACTTGTGAACAATGTTTATTTTAGGAAATGTCTGAAGAGCTTGCTCCTCTCCCTCCGTTACCTATAACCTGCCTACGGAACAGGTAGCATCTGCTGCGCGCGGCCACACGTGAGAGAGGACAACAAACACCGGCAGCTGCTGAGCCATTCATCATAAACTTTGGCTTTAAAACTTCATACAACAAGACCCAAACAAAGAAGCGCTGAACGCAAATATGTGGTGAGTAAACATGTTTAGCTCAGCATTGGCCATCTAACGTTAGCTTGCTTCAGCTACGACCTACCAGAGGTTTACTCCGACTGTCGTTCGTTATGAAAAGATGAACGAGCGTTTGTTTACTTGCCAAACTTGTGGTGGTGGATTAAAGTAATCATTTACGTCCCGCTGGCTGCCATCACCCATACAGTCTATGCCATCACCTTAATTAATTATTGCCGTTGGCTTGAAAGAGGTTACAGGTTTATTGTTAATCATGTAGCCTTACAGTTTTATTTAGTTATACACTGGTTTGAGAGTCTGCAGCATGTGTTGACTTACAGTAGTTTAAGCTGTCATTGATTGCATTGCACATTATGATTGTGCTCTGTAAGTTAAAAACAGGTTACAGCCTTACTGTTTTGAGAGTCTGGGGGATGTGTTGAATTACAGTAGTTTATAAGCTGTCATTAATTGTAAACACATTGTACATTGGGCTGCATGATTGTGCTCTGTAAACGAAAAACAGGTTACAGTTACAAAATTCTTTATAGCTATGCAGTGTTATAAGCAGCCTAGACTGAACACAGCAGGTGATACAACATTCGTAATAACCACGAGAGACTTGAGACTTGACTTGGACTCGTGCTCAGAGACTTGAGACTTGACTTGGACTCTAGCTCAAAGACTTGTGAGCATCTCTGCTATGGTGAGGTTCAAACCCAGTTCATTCCCTCCTGCTCAATGCAGACTGTGACACTGGCTGGCAACAGAAAAGAAAGGAGAAACCATAGGTGTCATATACACTGGGGATATGTCCCCACCACTTTTTGAGAACATTGCTTAAAGTTTTCTGAAAATTAGCTTGCAACAAGGAATGTTAAATAGCAAATAAAAATTCAATGAGAAAGGTTTACTTGCACAACAGGAAAACATCAAATGCAATGTAAAAATAGAAGAAACAGATCTGCCTTGTCCAAAGCTACAATTCTTTGATGAAGGTGAAAGGTTTGGCAAAACAGCATTATAATGAAGAAGAGTGGTGCCTTCAAAGGGTGTTCTCCAGGTGTAAATAAAGTTTGTTTGGTACTGACAACAACAAATGTCATATTCATCATCATTTCCACTAATCGTGAATCATATCTCACATTGAAATATCTACGGTAATATCAACGGTAATTAGAATTTCAAATGCAAGGTGATGATCTAATCAGTGTGGTGTTTTGTTGTTTGTTTTTTCAAAGATCATTTTTTCTGGGGTTTTGCATTTATTAGATGGGAACAGCTGAAAAGACAAAGTGAGAGAGGTAGGAGATGATGTGCAGCAAAGGCCGCTGCAGTAAGGAATCAGCTTTAGTACATGGTGCACTTGAATTGCAGAATGTTTCTAGAATGTATCTAGTCCATCCTGTTCAGAGTTGTGTAGTTTAGCTAAGAACTGTGGGGTTACTTGCCTCCAGGCGGGGTAGGCTCTTGGCTCAGCGTCAGCCCTCTGAGAGAAGGATTCAGCCAGGAACGCAGGGAAAGCTCTGTCAGGCCTCGGAGGCCCTCAGCCTTTCTGCGGTTAGACTGGCACACTTCACAATCTAAATCAAGATACAGGGATTTGGAAAGAGAAAACAATCTGTTAATTATCTCACTCTCACGACAGTGTGGGCCTCATCCAAGAGCAATCCAAAGCATGTAGTGGCATGGTGAGGTGCAACGAGTCCACACGATGGCCACAGGGGATCTGACAGTCACTTTACTTGTAACATAATCCCTACATACATATTTTCTCTGGGTTTATCTGTCAGACTTTGTTCTCTGATCCCCTCTGCTGTGTTTTTACACCTCATTACTCTGTCTTTTATAATGTCTGTTATTAACATTCTTTTTGCACTTATTACCTTTTCACTGTTCCTACTACATCCCAAACACTGCCCTACAATTCTTTACATCTTTGCCTTCAACCCTCACTTATTTTCTTGCTCTTCTCTTGTCCTACAACTACTTTCTTCTTCCTTTGCCATCTCCCCATCCATGCTGACCATCCCTCTCCTTTGCTATCCATTTGCTCAGGCCGAGGAGATTGTTCGCAGGGAGTTGGAGAAGAAGGAGACGCCCAGTCTGTATTGCCTACTGGGAGACATATTGAGGGACCATCAGTACTATGACCGTGCGTGGGAGCTGTCACGCCAACGCAGCGCCAGAGCCATGCGCTCCAAAGCCCTGCTGCACCTCCACAACAAGGAGTTCCAGCAGTGTGTCGACTGTTTCGAGCAGTCCCTCAAAATCAACGCCATGCAGGTACAAGCAAAGTAGTAACGTTGCTGAGAATGAAATGCCACGTTAAGGGTGTGTTCATACTGTTGTTTTTTGAAACATGCACATTTAAAAATTCAAAAACACACAAGACACATTCAAAAATCTATGAAAATTTATTCATGTAGTAACAGTTTTGCCTTCGGAGAACAGGAGCCTGCAAATTGGGGTATACAGGAAACCCCCCCACACAGACCAATAGTTTTCAATTCTCACCCCCAACTGGAGCACTAGCTAGGGGTCATCAGAACCCTGCACCACCAAACATACTAATAAGTGCCTAAGCCAGAGAGAAGGAACAGAACCACCTGAAGGGGGCACTTACAGCCTGTGGATACCTCAATTGGACCTTTGTGAAGACAGCCACAAGATCCAAGAAGAACAAAACTACAGGAGAGGAGGAAAAGAAGGTCAAACGCAACAACATTGTGATTCCATACGTGTCTGGAGTATCAGAGAAACTCAGGAGGATTTTCAACAAACATAACATCCCTGTGTTTTTTAAACCCAAGAACACACTAAGACAGATGCTGGTCCACCCCAAAGACCGCACACCCAAACACAAGAAAAGCAATCTAGTGTATGCGGTCCAATGCAGTGAGGAATGCACAGACCTGTATATTGGGGAGACTAAACAACCACTACACAAACGCATGGCTCAACACAGAAGGGCCAACTCCTCAGGTCAAGACTCTGCAGTCTACTTCCATCTGAAGGACAGAGGACACTCGTTTGAGGACCACCAGGTGCACATTTTAGACAGAGAAGATGGATGGTTTGAAAGAGGTGTCAAGGAAGCATCTACACCAGGGTCGAGAAGCCGTCATTGAACAGGGGAGGGGGTCTACGCCACCACTTATCCCCCACTTACAATGCTGTCCTTTCATCACTTCCCAGGAAACTCAACAAACGTAACCTATTGGCCTCAGGTGAAGATACCAACGACGGTCGTTCAGTCTTGGCCACAGGTAGTCTTAACGACTGTAACGACTGTCGTCACAGCAACCAGGAAAACTAACGAACCAGCGGTATCGATGACCCGGGCCAACGACCCCACTGAGGTTAAATAGCTGAGTTTCCCTGCCAGTCAGTCAGAACTGAAGAAGTCCTTTGGATGAGGGACGAAACGTCTTCCAGTAGCTTCAACCAAGTCCAGTTGCCCTTCATTTTAACCTTCCTTGGATAACTATGACCTGGATGACAGAAAACCTTCACAGACATACACATAACCTATAAACTACATGCCTAAAATGTACCTTGATAGTATAAACAGAAATCATGCAACCATCAATTTTCTGACACTTGGCAGGTTTCTTTGATATCAGGCCAAGCAAAGTAGCCTAGCTGTCCCTCTCCCTTGCTACTTCCTTCCCAAGGGATTCCCAGACCAGTTTTGATACATAATCCCCCCCCCCCCCCCCCCCCCCCCCCCCAGTGTGTTCTGGATCTATTTTTAGGGTCTCTTCCCAGATGGACGTGCATGGGAAGAAGGCTTTCCAGGCTTCACAGAGAGGCTTCGACTTCATGTCTGAACCACTTAGCTTCCTCCGTAGCCTGGAGTCGAACATCTTCTCTCTAAGAGTGAGCCTAGGCACCCTGCAAAGGAATCTAAATTCAGCCACTTGTCTTGTCTTGATTGTTACCCAATACTGTAGATGAGGTTTGAACCTAGAGCAACTGATCAAGAAAGACTTTGAGTTTCCATTTACCAGACTGAATCCATTTTAGATAATACTGAAAGCAGCAAAACCAAATTGCTAACACCTAGATGGACTGGACCAAACATTTACATAACATGACATGAATTCCAGACAATAGATCCGAATGACTTTGGTGAAAGCCTGACTTTTCAACTAGCACCACCATGATGTTGTAATTTTTGTTTTGAGTGGAATATCTCAATAGCTACTGGATGAATTGCCATGGAATTAGGTACAGACATTCATGTCCTTCTCAGGATGAATTGTGTTTGTGGTCATTGCAAATAAGCAAATATTAAGATGTTAAGTTCAGTTTAAAACAATTTTCAGACTCGGGGTCCATTAATGCTACCACCATAAACTAACATGGTGTTAGTGTGAACATGCTACCTGTATAACGGGTAAAAAAACATGGCATGGCTGTGGAACAGGGTTGGACTGCGAACAAAGTTTGGACCTAGCAATTTTTATCTGGACCGGACTGGCTGGGCAAGTACACTGAGCCAACAGCACAATAACTAAATTCACCTGTAGGCCTGCCTCAACAGGATTTCCAGTGTACATACACACAGTTAACACTAACAACAGGACAGGTGCCTGGCGGGCTGTTAGTGATCACTGCAGCTAGCAGGATTTGGTGTAACTGGCATTGGTAACTTTCTTTTTAAAAAATGATGTGTTAGTTGGGTCAGGGGAGGTGACGACGGTTGGTGCCACTTCCTACACCTGCCTGAAAGTATAGGTTTGGGACCCCAGTCACATAGGCTGTTCCAACATCAAGTGGCCTGTGAGAAAATGTTTTTCCCCATAGTTTTTCCCCCACATTGCTGGTAGCAGCCTTGTAGCCCACTAGGTAGGCCAGCCCATCTGGTATTTGCCAGAATTGCCAGTCTGAACCTGCTGTGGATTCTTGTTAGAATTTAAATCTGCATCTGTATTTCTTGCAGTTTTTGGAATCTTTCTGGAAATATTTGTGCATGAATTCACTGCTTGGATTGACTTTTATTGTTTTGTGTGTGTATTGGGACAGCTCGGGGTTTGGTTTTCCCTCGGGTGTGCCTACTTTGCCCTGGAGGGCCATGAAGGAGCTGCCAGGGCTTTCCAGAGGTGTGTGGGACTAGAACCAGATGTAAGTGCTTACACACACACTCACACACACACACACACGCAGAACAGAATTTCACTAACACATGAGGTGGAGACAGGTGGTGCAAGCAGTCAGTGATCCTATCAGCCTCTCACTTTAACAGTCCTGTTCCTTCACTCACAGTCCTTGTCTACAACACATACACACACACATAGGCCAGAACAGAATGCAGCAGAACCCAATTGTTTGATGAGGTTTTAAATGGTCAACCCCTGAACACTCTGACGGCCTCAGTGCATAAAACCGTTGGTACCAACCATTCTTCTCTATGTTCTGTTTCTTTATGTTCCCCCCAATTCCTTTCAGAACGCAGAAGCGTGGAGCAACCTGTCTGCGGCCTACATTCGCCTCCAAAAGAAGTGAGTATGAGTGTGACGTGTAATGGAAACATTCACAGAGCGGCACATGTTAACTTATTTGCTCTGGTAGCAAGAGTGATCATTGTGTTGGGAAAACCTGATGCTGGTATCAATGTCTAAAGCAGAGTTTATGACAGTTTGTCACTGTTTAGGTTACAGACATTTTGTTGCTCCCATTTCCTTGTTATATATTGGATCTACACTCAGTGGTCACCTCCCATTTTAGTTCCTGGAAGAGAAATTCAAAAAAAGTGCTGAAAACCATCTCTAGAGGATTAAAGTCATTGTTAACGTGATGTCTCACACACTTGCTGTGATTTCTTATTTTAATTCTACTTCATCCTCCACCTTTAATTTAGTGTTTACTTAATACCTGATTTCTCACCTTCAGTTTTCCCCACACTCACTCACCTCTTGGCGAGCCTGTGTCCACTTGAACCCCTTTCCAATCTTAGCTGATAGAATGGGGGAACCTGATGTGGTCCTGTCCACTTCTAGGTTTGATTAAGATATTTGTATAATGAGCAGCAGTTTAGGTGGCCCTAATAATGTTGTCACTGGGTGTACTTGTATCTTTTTTTGCTGCATCAGTGCAGCACCTTTACAAGGCAAGAGAACTGTGAGCCCTGCAATTTAGTTGCAAATAGACAAAACACAAGCAGATGAAGAAAACATATTCAATACTTTGACAACACAAGTTTTTTAGACAGAACAAAAATATTGCAGATAAATAAAACACATGCAAACTGAGAACCACATTTTGACAACACATAAACAACAAAGAACCATGCTGTAAATACAGAAAGCACAAGAGAAAACAGATAATACTTATGAATGTTCCAGATCGCAGGTATGTATGGGACAAAGTGATTTCATTCAAGTCTGAGTTTTTTTTGGCTCTAGATGCAGAAAGACATGTTTATGCTCATAAACACATGGCCTCTTGTGCTGTGTTTTTTCGTACTGGAGAAGGCTGTGACAGTACGGAGGTATCCAGTGTCTCTGAGCCTTTGTTAACATCAGATGCATGTGCTTCCAGGCCTGAAATTGAAAAGCAAAGTAGAAAGGCTTCTATTAAGACCTGGTTTATGTACCTTCCCAATCAACCATTACCAAGTGTTGAAATGAATTTTGTTGTAAGTGCTGCTAGTGGATTATCCACATGTTTTAGTGTGCTCATTCACTGCTAACCGTTTTCTTTCTGTCTTTTTCTTCCTGTTTCTTTCTGTCACACTTATTGGCAGAAACAAAGCCTTTCTTACCCTGCAAGAAGCTCTGAAGTGTAACTACGAACACTGGCAGATCTGGGAGAACTTTATCACTGTTAGCACTGACATCGGGGACTTTGCTGAAGCCATCAAGGCCTACCATCGTCTGATGGACCTCAGGGAAAACTACAAGGACATCCAGGTAAAAGAATGGCATTAAAGTCATCTTAATCTAACTACATCATGAGGTGGAGACAGGTAGTGCAAGCAGTCAGTGATCCTTTGAGTCTCTCACTTTGACAGTCCTTTTCCATCATCAAGTGACATTATGCCTCACTCTTTGACAGTATGTTGTATAAGGTCATTAATGTATCATAGCTGTGACTCAGACGTAATCCCTGGAGTGCCACACACAGGTGGTCTGTATAACAGTGAAGAGACAAGAAACTTAATAAGGAACAGGGAGTTAAATGTAAAGCAGCATTGTGTAAGATATTTGTTGCAATTTTGTGCCCCTACAGTCAGAGTGCAGTTATACTCCGCTGTTGTAAATAAGGACAGCTATTCACGTGCATTTGTTATGATAACCTATGATGTCGCCAACTTTGCTAACATAGCCAAACATCAAGCAAGTATGGCAACACAAGACACAGCAATATTACTGACTAGTCCAACAGCAAGAAGGCCCGGCCAGGTTAAGGCCCAGATGCTAAATCTGTCCTTAACCTGGCTGTTGAAGTTCAAGCATTTATTTAAAAACACAAAACTTAACTTCCAATTTTTGGTTCACAAATTTACTAAAGACTTACCTCCCTCCATATTATAAAATTGTAAATATTCAGGCAAAGACTAGCACAGCTCAATTTAATTATTAGACGACTTTTAATTTAACTCCATTCTTAATGGAACGATTTGTAAACAAGAAGTAGTACTTTAAAATAAGTACGGTGTTTAACTGGGAGCCAGTGCAGTAACTGAAGGGGTGCGGTGATGTGCTCCCAGGACCGCGTGCGGCAGAGAACTCCTGTAGCTGAATTCTGTTCAATAGTCTGTTTAAGGCAGAGTAGTCTCTGCATCAAAGTAGGAAAGAAACGGTCGTAGTTTGGAGATGTTCTTTCAAGCTCTAGGATCTTTTTATTATCCCCAAGGGGCAAGTTGTTGTACAGTCGGCAGTCTTTAGGTAAAAAAAGGCAGTCATGGTGATGTTTTTAATATGTTTGTCAAAACAAAGGGTGGAGTCAAAAGTTACACCCAGATTTCTTTGCCTCAGCAACAGAGGATGTAACAAAACCAGGGATGGACAGATTAAGATTGGAGACTTTGCAAATTGTCGCTGGAGAGGCAATGAGGATAGCCTCAGATCTATCCTGATTAAGTTTAAGGTAGGTGCAGGTCATCCAAGCATTAATACCGTCAGGTTGGATGTTGGTAGAGTGTCCGAAGGCTTAGTGTGTAGGTAGAGTTGTGTGTCGTCAGCATAACAGTCAAAGGTGAATTATATGTCAAAGAATTAGATGTCCAAGTAAGAAATGAACATTAATGGTCCAAGAACCGAGCCTTGTGGGACACCACGGGAAAGGGGGGATGTCGGAGACCTAAAGCTGGTAATTCAATTTCACTTCAGTTTTATTTATATAGCGCCAAATCACAACAACATTTATCTCACAGCGCTTTTCATAAAAGAGCAGGTCTAGACCATACTCTGTGATATTATTTACAGAAGCCCAACAGTTCCCACCAAGAGCAGCACTAGGTGACAGAGGCAAGGAAAAACTTCCTTTTAAGAGGCAGAAACCTCGAGCAGAACCATGGCTCAGGGTGGGCGGCCATCTGCCTCCACCGGTTGGGGTGAAGGGGGGAGAGAGAGAGAGAGAGGGAGAGAGAGAGATAAGGAGAAGAACAGAGAGAAAAAGAGAGGGATGGAAGGAGAGAGAGAGGGGAGGGAGGCAGTCTACACAATATACACACAGAGGTATAGACAGTAAAGGTGATGTTGCTATAGACTAAATGAAAAATGGTACAGATATTTATAGTAGTGTTAATGATAATAATCGTAATCAGTAGTCACCTTGGTAAGGGCAGTCTTTGAGCAGGGCAAGATGATTCAGTGTATCTGAGAGGAGCACATTGAGCTTTGTATGAGGCAAAATGGGTGATTTCCTTTCCAGTCAGAGGATGCACCCAACTGGTAAAATCTTGTCAAAATCTGCTCATAAATCTTTTTCATGGTGGTCGCATGCAGAGTCATTTTCAACAACTGAAAGGAAAACCTCTCTGAAGCACGTCTCGGTAATTGCACACCCACCAATGCATTCTAAGGGGAAGATTAAGCATTGGCTTTCAATAAACAAACCAAAACAGCCAGCGGTAGCATTTTCAGGAGTATTAATTATCTTCTTCAGCCCTGTAATAATTTTAGTCTCGTAGTTTGAGCAATTAACTTTAAAGATTATATCTTTCAGCACAGCAGGACTGATTGAAATCACAACTCTGGCTCTGAAAGGTATCCTGTGTTCTTGGGACAAATACTGAAACTACTTCAAATTCACATTCTTTAGGGTGATTACAAACGATTTTACATGACTTTTTTACTTTAGTGTAATCCTGTTTGGTTATTGTTGTTGTTTAAGGCAACTTTTCATCCAGCGTGATCCTTTATGCTGGTTGTGTTGAGATCAGTCAATATGTAAAAGCACACAAGTTGAAAAGTTCAGCAGCAGCATCCATGCTCCAAGTAGATAGCTTAGAAAATGTTATTTGGCTTTGCTCTGCTTGCATTTTCCTCCCTCCCCACATTACGAAAGTGTTGAACAGACTAAACAACATACTCATCTGTGACACAAACATCTCAACATAAAGATCCACTTACCGGCTTTTTTTAGCATCATGAATACTCCCAGCAAACTACGTGGCAAGTTGGCTAAAAGTTGTTGAAATTCAATTGAATAATCAATCACTTGAATGGACCATATGACCAACCAATGTCTCCATCCTTTGTCATCCCGCTAATTGGGTATACACATCAGGAGTACAGGGTCCTTGCATTTACCCATTCCTGTGCAAACCATTAAAACATTTTTCCATCCAGATTGAGTTTTTTACTTTCAATGTGTTGCCAGATGCAATTCTCCAGACACACATGCCCACACTATGACATTTAAAGATATTTTAGCCAATATTAAACTTTCAAATGACTACGACAGAATATTAGGCCCCGTAGATTAATAACAAATTATGCAGGGGGGTAAAATTCCGAGAAAAAAATCTAAAATTTTGAGATTATAAAGTCATACATTTGTGAGGTCAGAGTCAGTACTAATGGTAAAGTGAATATTACCCCCACCCCCCGGCTCCGTACATTTTTTATATCTACAATGGCCCTATAAGTCTGTCTGCACCTGGGAATACTGTGACACATTTTTACCACCCTTCCCAGTACTGTGTACCAAAGGACAGATGGACAAAAAGCAAAGTGTATTTTTACATCAAAGTGTTGAAGCTTTACATCACTCTTTTCTACCCTGCCTTCCTCAGTGAAACAAACCTGTCAACTTCACCTCAAAATGTCACATAAAAGTCTCATTACTTCAGATGACTATTTTTACAGTTCTATTTTTTACTCACATCCATCTCACACCTGTAAATGGTATTTTGCATAAATAGTGTTGACACTCTGCTCCTGAAAACATCATCAGATCACAGTTCCATTTTTAGAAGCAACATTTCTGCCTTTTTCGGTTTCATATTTTTCTTGTCTGTGTTTGGTTTTAGCCCAGGCACAGTATGAGAGGTGGAGCGGTAGTGAAGGAGAGATGGTGGCAGAGACCACCATGAATTCCTCTTGTATGGAATGTATAGAGGGCTGCTGACAGATATGCTTTGACTGGCTGATAGATTTCAAAGGAGCTGAGGGTCACATGGCTCAGCTTTGTGCCTCTTGGGGTTCAATGGGATACTCAGGAACCTTACAGTTACACACACATGCATTCACACTCAGGCACTATACAGAGATTGTTATAATCTAAAAGTAAACTTCAAAATGAGCTTCACAGATTTTATTTTGTTTCTTCTCTTTAAGTTACTTTTCAACTTAATTTCTCACTAGCAGGAAAACGTCAGCCATTCAGTTTTTATCCTTATGTCACTTTTCCACACAGAGATGGACAACATAGGAGGAAACATCAAACGCAGTTCTTTTTAGGGATTTAATCTTAATCTCATCACAGAAAATACAGCAAATGCACAGACTTCAGAGACAGTCTGGCAGATATTACCCACAGTGTATGTATGTAGGTTTTTGCAGCAGTACCTTTAGCCTTTTCTGCTTAACATAGAAAAGGCCAGGTATGTCACTGAGGAGCCAGTTTCCAGCAGACTGTGTGTTGAGGTGTGAACAGATGTAGAGGATGTGGCCGTCAAAACTCCCGTGGTGTCTTGCATGATGTCTGACATATCATTCCAAAGACATTACATCAAAGCCTTCCAGTTGATTTACCTTAATTGTCACTGCGGTGAAGAAAGGTCTCCCAGTCTGAATCAAACACAGGGATGGCAGACTCAGCCAGTAGCAATGAAAACTACTATGGAAAGAGATCATTCCTGAATTTAAATATATTGAATGGCTATTGTCATGCATACCAGTTTACTTGTCTTAAAACAGGTCTCTAATTTCCTCTAGGTTGAGTGAACTGATGACGTCATCAGCGTTACAACTTGGGCCTGGAGAGTATATATTTTAACAGAAAGTCTGTGTCATAAATCTGATGTGGAGTTTTAAAGACCTAGCCATTTACCAGGCAGGGAGGAGTCTAATAAAAGATGCTGTCAAGTAGCGTTGTGGAAATATAAGATCCAGAGTTTTCGAGGGACTAAAGGTCAGAATATCTCAGACTGCTGCTTACATTTTGCCCTTTCTAAAAAATCTAATTCTTGTGAGTCCTCTACTTTATGGGAGTACAATACTAAATTGCTGAAATTGCTTTCTAGGGGCAAGCGCTGCTCTTTCACTTTGCCCAACCAGATTTATCCTGCCAGTCCAGGGATCAAACAAGCGATTGTTTGTTCACATAAACATAAAAATAAATAAGAAAGGGGAAAAGAAGAAGTGTATATACATTTGTACGTTCAATTATTAAATATACATTTATGGTAATAATTTGTGTTTTGATAACATACAGATACAAACCATAACATAAAATAGCCAAATTCAAATGTATATGGGGGGCTTGTTTTTTGGAAAAAAATGAAGAGATCACACAGTGTGTATGGTGCAATGGAACACATGACATGAAGTGAGTTTGGAAAAACAGGTAAACTGTTCCAGATTTATTCAAAATGGCTAACTGTTCTTGCAGCGTCAGCTTTTAGCCTTTGTTAGTTTTAACAGTATCTATGTATTTTGCAGCCATCATTTTGATCTTTACTACACACCTGTAAATGCATGCATGCAGCAAATGGCAGGTCAGACTCGAACCCTGGCTGCCATAGATGAAATAAACACTGCATTGCATTATGGGCAAAAGTAAAGTTGTGGAAATAAAAGCAGGTGTTTTATCTTTAATTGCTGATCTAAAACATCTGATTTGACAACTATGATTGAGGTGTAACCAGAAATTTTACTTCCCAGTAGTTTCAACTCAGAGTATGTTGACTTTTTCTTTACATACAACATAAGTGTATCATTTGTAGAACCATAGCAGATTGGTTTCTTTGGCCGTGCTGAGCAATGCTACAGTTTAATTAACAGAAATTAAAGCATTACATGTAGCTAAGAATTCAAAATCACATCTAATATATAATTATTTCATAATGTTGAGACTTAAATTGTGATTTATTTGAAGTCAAATCTGACATTGACGTATTTAACTGTTTTTTTTTGCTTATGGCAGATTCTTCAGATCCTGGTAAAAGCAGTTGTTGAAAACCTGACAGACCGCCAGGGTGAGCAGGCAGTAACTCTCAAGTCCAAACTGAAGGAGCTCCTGGGACGGGTCAGTTCCCGGCACAGTACTGACTCTGAGATCTGGCGGCAATACGCTTTGCTGTATGGTGACGGCCACAGCTCCAACCCAGAGGACAACGAAAAGGTTGGTTTCACAGCCAGCATTCCTGCAACATTAACATTTACCCATCTTTACCCATTTTCTCAGTCAATTATTTTCCATTATTTATAAAATGTCTTGTTTTGTCCACAACCCAAAGATATTCAGCTATTCATAGAGGACTTTTGACTTATTTCCTTTAAAAAATTACTCACACCATGAATCGATTATCAAAATAGTTGGCAATTAACATAATAGTTGACAACTAATCTATTGACGGCGTTATTTTGTGGTTTTTCAGGCACTACAGTTTTGTCAAAGGCCCATCGCTGCGAGGTTCAGGCTGGTGGCTGGGAGAAAGAACCTGGTCTGTTCAAGGAGGTGATCAAAAGAGCCACTGATATGGGTGAAGGTGAGAGCACCATTTAGCAGCAAATACATCCACCATCCACACACAAACCTTGGGTTGTTGTATTCCAGGGAACCTGGAACAACAATCTGCAACTGAGTCTCCCTTTTGTCATCATTAGACCTTTTACGAATACCCCTTGGTTTTGACTGAACAGTAGTAACTTATCTGTAATACAGGGGGAGAAGTTAATGGTTCCAAAAAGTCATATTAACAGGAAGTCCTGCTTACTACCGCGTATTGCTGACTAGAGCCAGACCGATAAATCAGCGTGCTAATATTATTGGCCGATATGCGCTAATTGCAGATAAATCGGTATCAGTGTTTATAACAGCAGATAATTGACAATAAAAAGAGAAAATGACAGGCAGAAGACGGATCCTTCAGTCATGAGTGTTGTCATTGCATAGTTTGTCCACCAGAAGGCACTCTACAACTCCCCTGTTGGCAACACAAGCCACAAATCCACCACAAAACACAGCAATCAGCTAACCTAATCAGTTGGAGTTCTTTTTAAACTGCATTATGTCATGTTGTCTTGGTGAGGTCTCATAACTGCACAGAATATATATTAGGGATAATCTTTGATATGCATTTCTGAAAAGAAGAAAAAAAAGATTATCTGCCGATATGTCGGAATGTCAGATTTTTAAAATCAAAAATCAAAATTGGTATCCGTCTAAAATATCCCATATTGGTCAGGCTCTGTTGCTGACATAATGGTGCGCTGCAGCTTGGACAGGGTTGTACGAACTCAAGAACCTCGCCTGTGTTTCCGCTGAAGTAACAAAGGACTAAATTTTGTTTATTTGTCTTGACAGTTCTTGCCATGAAGTGGAAAGGAAAACAGGAATGCCCAACTAAGATTTAGTTCCTATCTGAGCGTAATTCATTAGTTCCTGTGACTACTTGGTCAAAAGGGGGCAAATGTGTAGTGCAGAGATAGAAAAGAATCCAGGACAGGAAACGTAGTGACTTCACAAGGTCGCTGGTTTCAGTCCTCAGACCTGCTGTGAACAGCCTGTAAAGCGACTACACACACCATCAGCTGTTCTGGTACACATGAGCAGTGTGAAATCCGGCTGTCTTCTCCAAGACTGAATCATCATCCCCTGTGGTTATTGGTGGATTATGCAGTCCCTCCAGGATTTCGTGGGCCTTTTTGTGATTGTTGCGGCCTAAAATGCCAGATTTTGCGGCAGCTTTCCTGAAAATTTGCGATCAAAGTTTGATGGTATTTTTGCGGTGAAATTGTGGGAATAAGTTAAAACTGCAAAAGTAGATGTGATTTTCTTTTAACTTTAGACTTATAATTGAATACTAATAACTGACACTTGTTTACACACTAGACTTTTTATTCCTAAGCGTGTTCTTAAATCACACACAGTTCAGTGTCATGCAAACAGGACGTTACTCTGTCACTCTGTGATAAACTACATTAACGAGCTTACCTTGATTCTCTCAGTGCTTGCAATTGTCCGGGATGCAGCAGCCTGTGTCACAGTGATTTGTCTCGGCTGACCTTCATACGTATCTTCCGTTCTCCACATGTTTTACGATGGCAAAGTGTTTGTCAATAGACAATTTCCTTCTGTGTTCCCTGTATTTATTAATTAGTCCTTTTTGTAAATTAATACCTTTTATTAATATTCTAAATATCTTTAATATTTGCTAATACCAAACCTGCCCCTCTCTGTGCAATGAAGGCAAACAGACCACTTAACTTTCCACTCTTGGCTACATGACCTTCCACTAACCAAACAATCAGTCCAAGTTTCTCAGAGGGGCAGAGGAGGTGAGTGAGAGGAAAATGGGAGAGATTTGTCTCTGATTTCAGTTTAGTTGTTCACAGTCCCCAGATGTGTTCATTACACCCACAATGCAAGACATACTTAGCTTAGCTGTTGCTCTGTTTATTCATGTGGGATAATGAGCAAATTTCAACGATTTTTGTTCACCAAAATGGGTATTACAATCACGGGAAAAGTCAGCTTAGCTTTGGTTAAGACTACTTGTTTGTGGAGAATGAAGTGAGCTCAGTAGAACTCTGTAGCCCCCCCCCCCGAAAACTCTGCCTAAGGCTAGCAGCTTCAGGCTAAATTACCT